GACCCCCGCATCCTGCAGAGAACTCCGCAGGATGGAGAAATACACCACTGTTTGTCAAGCCACCAAGATCTGGTTTTGCTTGTGCTGAAGCTGTCCTGCCTGATACAATGTTCCTCATAAAATCTGCAAACAGTACAGAAAGTTGTTAATCAGAAAGTCAAATACCTATGTAATCTGCTTCCCCCACTTAATTTTTACACCTTCCAAAAACACATACATTCATATATACATTCTTACATATATACATTTTTATGCATAAATATACATGCTCATACTATATATCTATTCTATAAACACTTTTTTCATTGTGTCAGTGTTATCCATTATCTATTTTCCTTTTTTTTTTTTTGGTCATATGTACATTATTGGATGATTAATAATTTGTTTAAAAAATAAGCTATTGGTGGTAAGTTAGGCTGTTTCCAATTTTTGTATGAAAATAGAAATCATGTTGTGTGTTGGTATCTTTGCATTCTTGTCCAATAATATCCTCAGAATTAATTTCTAAGTGCAAAATTACTTGGTTAGAGTCTGTATATCTGAAATTTCATATGTGTTACCAAACCCTTCTCCAGAAGATACAATTGTTTACATTTCCTTTAACAACACATGAGTGCTCATTAACTACATCCTCCATCAACCTAGACCTGAGAAACCTTTTTTAAAGTTTGGGCATAATTAAAACAGACGATGCATTTTTTTTTTTATGATTTTCTCTTCCTCTTTTTTTCCTTCATTTTTGGGAAGGGGAGTTGATTAGGTTTATTTATTTACTCATTTTTAAACGGAGGTACTGGGGATTGAACGCAGGACCTCCTGCAGGCTAAGCACACTCTCTACCGCTGAGCTCTGCCCTCCCCGAGACAATGCATGTTTTGATTACTGGTGGTCCGAAGATGCTTTTCAAATAAATTTGTCATTTGTGTCTCCCCTTTTAGTGCTTTCCATTTATGCTTTTTGCCCATTTTCCTAGTGTTCTGTTCACCTTTTGTTTTGTCTATTAAGGGTATTAACCCTCTAATGTTACATAGATTGGAACTTCTGCTTTTTTTTGTTTTTGTTTTTGTTTTAATATTGTGGAGATGCTTTTTGAAGTATGGGCCCTTAAAATTTTTAAACAAATCTGTTCATTTTTTGCCTTTATGGTTTTTGGCCTTGAGTTTTAGCTAAGAAGTTCTCTTACATCTATGGTTTATAACAGTCTCTGTATTTCCTTCTAGTCTTGAAAAATACCAGTTATTAACTAGAAAAATTGCGTATTTTAAATGTTAATAATTTGGTATATCTCTGTTACCTCTTTATTCAACCCTTTTCCATTTCTGAGTAAAATGGAGGTTTTTTTACACATTGGTCTCATGGTTTTCTTGCCTCTTCAAAAGTGGTGGGAAGATAGAAATTTTCCTTAAAAAGTATTGACATTTCAAACTTGTAGATCAATATTCATAGCCACAAGAGATGATTCTCTTTTCTGTTTTAGAAAAGAAGAGAAAAATACAAAGCTGGTCCAGTTCGAAAAAAAGACAGAAAAAAAGCCTCCCAAGAGGTAAGCAAGAAGAGCGAAGTCGTCCCGCCCTCCGTGTTCAGCGGGGTCCTCACCTGACCACCCAGATGGTCTCTTCTCTGACCCCTAGGCCACCCCGTCAAGGGCTCCTCTTCAAAAGAGAAAAGCCATGTTGGTTCCAACTGACTTCTTTTCTGTTATCATTGGGAAGGAATGGGGTGGAGGTAGACAGGAGGCATCAGACAGTTTTGAGATTAGGACTGTGTCCAGTGCAAGTTCAGAGCCAGGAAGAAGTGACAAAGCAAACCTGAATGTGCAGGCAGGATTCAGATTCCTAATCCCAAACCAAAGTTAAATTTGTGGTCACTGTGAGTGTTCAGAACCACCTGGATCAATGCTTAGCATGCACTGTTTCCATGCGTGAAAATTATGTTATTTGCAGTAGAGGAAACAAAACTTTATGCAACTTTGCATTTTTTTTGGCTCCTCTGCTTGATCCCTCTTTGTCTTCATCACCTTTTCTCCTTCTCCTCTGCATTCTCGCCTTCTTGCCCTTCCCCTCTCCTTTCTCCTTTTTTCTTTGTTCCCGGTGTGCCAGTTGGTGGGGATTCTCTTGGATTCCCAGCCCTTATGGGGGAATGGGGCACCCTCAGTGGGGAACCTCCTCTCAACTTGCAAGCATGAATCATGACATGAGTTTCACTGCTTTGGAAATTCTCCCAATTTTTCTTCTTGTTCCCAATACCCTTCAATCTTGGGGTTTGACTGGGAGAAGACTCAGACCTTCTTCCTCACCCTTCTTTCCTTGTCACTTTCTCTGGGGTCCCAGCCCCATTGCCTCCTTGTCATATACTGAGTTTTCTCTACCAGTGACTTCTAGGAAAACTTGACAGTCAAACCTCTAAGGTTTTCTTGTTGGTATATAAAGGTAACTTCTGGAACATAGAAATCCCCTTTCATGAGCAGCAACTTTTGTGTTTCAAGATTTTGTATAGTATCTCTAAAATGATCTCAACTGAGCGGTTTCTTCTCTGTTCTAGCCAGCATCTGCCCTGTCCCTGAAATTTATTGATTTAATAAGTGGGGCACCCTGGACACTGCAACTTATAAGGATGAAAACTATGTAATTCTAATATTTTCTAAAACAGGCTACCTGTTATATATTCATTCTACAAAGATGAAATGAGTTAAAGTGTGTGCTAGACACATGTCTGGGTTCTGAGGACTCAGCAGTGAGCAAAACAGACAAACCCCTGTCCTCACGGAGCTTAGATTCTCACTGATGCACAAGTAATTCATAGTCAGAAAGAGGAGCTGAAGGGGAAGAAGAAAGACAGAAGTCTGGTGGAGAAAGAAAGATACCACAAGAAAAGAGAGATGTAATTATAGAGAAATAGCAAGATGAAAGTAAGGCCAGGAGCTACAGACATGGAGAACAAACTTAGGGTTACCAGGTGTAAAGGGGATGGGAAGGGATACATTGGGAATTTGAAAATTGCACCCCTTGGGGAGTGATGGAAATGTTAGCTACCTTGATTGTGGTGGTGGTTTCATGGATGTACATATCTAT